CACCCTCTCCTTGCACAAGTAAATGATACTTTGTGTTCTGTGTTGGCGGTTAGCAAGCTTCCTCTTAGGTGGGAGGCTGGGGAACCATTTTGGGAGGCTGTAGAAGGTGAGCATTTCCTCCGTTTAGGTCTGAGGTGCTGGGAGGGGGGGTGCCTGCGAAGCTGGTGGGGTGTTTTTGTTTGGTTGTTTGGTTGCTTTTTTGTGGAGGAGACTTCAGGATGGGGTCTGCGTTCTGCTCTGGTTATATTTCGCATGAAACATTGGGGTTTGCTTGATTTTTTTGTTTGCTTCTCCTGGCTTTTGGGTTCTTCATATAGTAGCGATAAAATAAAAGATTTCAACTACAGAAGGCCTATTATGTGTTGGGAATGTGATCAGTAGTTCATTTTGTTCAAAGGAACAATGCTCTCGGTTTTGGGGGTGGTATTGAGCTGCTAATTGAAATAATTCTGTAGAAACAATAGCCTACTGTGTGCTAGACCCCCCAGGCAGAGAACATGTAGTACATTATCTTTCATTCTCCCAAAACTACCCTTTTTATTCATTTGAGAGTAAATTGCAGCTCCTGGTTGCTGCGGCTTTGCCCGTGGTGCCCTGAATTCAAGGAGCTGTGTTAGGACTTGTACCAACTGGTGACAGAAAGGGGTGTTTGTCCTTGTTTTCAAGATGCAGAAGCCATGTTTAGTAACTGGTTGGGTTCGGTGATCTCTCTGTACCCTTTTAATTTTTCAGATGAGCCTTTGCAAACTTGAGATGAAAAGTCCTTGAGAAATGAGCTGGAAGTAAAAATGTTTGCCTTTGGTTGGTTTCTTCCCTGGGCCCTATGCCCTGGAAAAAGATGGAGAAAAAAATGTAAGAAGTTTCCTGTTTAATCACCTTTAACTTGAGCACTTCTAACAATCTCCAAACTTGTTTAAAGGCCTCTAAATCGGAACAAGAACCGCTTGGCTGGTCCCTGCCACCCCCACTCCCCCAGTCTGTATCACGCTTTGTTCTCCAGGCTCTGCCCAAGGAGGAACAAAAACCCTGCCCTCATGGAGTTTGCAAAACACATCTGTAGTCGTGATAAAAGATCGCGCACCTCAGCCCTCAGCGGTTATGGGTTGTTCCTTGATCCTTTTCCTCTATGCAGAGCCCCTGAACTTTGATCCAAGGCTGTTTGAAACTTCGTGTTTTTAGATCTTCATGAAGTAGAATTTTAATTTCAGGTCTGATTTGCCATCTACAAATTGAGTTAAATGCTTGAGCCTTCCATTAAACTGGTAAAAGGGCACTTTCAACTAGTTGAATTACAGTACTTTGGGACAAAATTGTCTCTCTCTTTTTTTTTTTTTTTTTTTTTTTTTTTTTTTTTTTTTTTTT